TATGTATTCATAGCTTTTTTAAGGTGGTGGTTTTGAAGGGTATCACGTGTTAGCTTTTTTAAGGTTAAAATGAAGGTTAGATTTGATTGGTTATTTTTTCTAGTTTGTGGGGGAAGGGAAGGTAGCCTGTGATGTATTTGATAATGTTTATAATTATATAGCCTTTACGAATTTAAAGTCAAGTCATATGAAATCTAGATTGGAATTTTTGTCTTTTTTTAATAAAAATACCAATACCAGTTTTAAGTAATTCGAACATATATTAGTAAAGTTATCCCAATATAAAAGGTAGATATTACCTTATGAGTTGTGTATACAGTAGAAATAGCCGAGCTTATACTGTAATCTTAATGTTACTATTACCTTATTAGATATAGTGCGACCGACTTTCTTGATTTTGGCACAGTTGGACTAATAGTCCACCGTACGCTCCACTCCCCCCAGTTTCCCCATTTTGCTCCGTATTATACGCTTCTACTTTAAGCGATATTCGGCCTTAACGAGATATGCTGTCAATTTTCGCGGTATACATGGTAGGTATACATAGTTCCGGCTCTTACGGCCTTTCTAACGGCGAGCTTGACGATTCCGAACACAAGTAAAATTTGGTCATGTGTGTGATTCTCTCCTGCTCTTCTCTTTTCTTGGATCTTGGAGATAGATCCCTGTAATGATTTTCCAGTACCATGTATCTCGTGATCGATGCCGTGCTTGTTGGGAGTACTAGGCCAAGCCCTTCAACAATTCCACGATTATTCTTACTGGTTCACACTAATGGCGGTGAAGATATACGTTAATATACATTCGTAAACAAGTTGAAAATCCTATTGGATATTCCGAGTGCCAAAACTAACTTAGTTATACTTGGACATTGGACGTCAAATACCTTCTTCCCACCAAACCAGGTTTGTAAAATTCTTGCCTCTAGCAGCTTACTTGCATCCCACTCCATATCTACCACCACAAAGTCCGCCATTCGTCCGGCCTCTAGTTTACCGGTATACTGGTCTGCGAAGCAGCTGTATGCCGAACCCTCCGTACCCGCCGCAATTGCAGCTGCTAGCTCCAACGCGAAATGCGGGTTAACCCGATCTGTCAAACTTGGCTCTCTGGCTGAGCGCCGTGTTGTTGCCGTATACGCATTTTTCAGCGGCGCGTGAGGTGCGGTAGGAGAATCGGATCCTAACGCTAGTACGGCACCCCCATCTGCGAACTCTTTATATGCGAATGCGCGTTCGTACCGGGATGGGCCGAGGAGCGACGGCCACGCTCGGAGGATCGCCGGATCGGCGTGTACCGGCTGAATAGAAGCCGTAATACCCAACTTTCCTAACCTCCTAGCGTCTTCAGGCGATGCAAGCTCAAGATGCTCGATCCGATGTCTACGACCGGGCGTAGCATTTTGCTCGAGAGCGTCAATAGCAACTCTTATAGTCTTGTCGCCAATCGCGTGCAGGGCACACTGCAAACCCGCCCTATCTGCTTTTCTGACGACGGGCCCGAGCTCTGCAAGCGACCAGATAGGCTCACACGATATTCCATTTGATGTATAGGGTTCTGATAGTCCAGCAGTGAAACCGTCTATAATGCCGTCCCCAATTACTTTTATACCTACAATACGACAATCTGGACTGTTGTCGGCGTTAAACTGGCGGTTGAGCTCGATTGCGCGGTCAACCTGAGCGAGGTTCTCAGCCTCTGTCTTCCTAGGAGTGATGAGCCAGTGAATAGCTATCCTAATTGGTAACTTCTCTTTCTCGCGTAGTATTTGTAAAGCTTCCCACGCATTTTCATCCATCGCCATCTCTACGAGTCCAGTGTAACCAGACGCATTATACGCCTCTACAGCCCCTTTTAATGCCGATAACTTCTCTTCCATCGGCGCGACTTTTGCGATATGTGGCCAGACAATTGTGACAGCTGCAGCCTCCGATAAGAGCCCTGATGCTTTTCCATTCTCGTCGCGATGAATTTTTCCACCTTCTGGGTCGGGCATGTCTTGCACACCCATCTCGTTCAGGGCTGCGCTGTTACACCATGTCGAATGCAGATCCTTGGAATCGATGAAGCTATATAATAACATGTGTTAGTAATTATGTCTTTTTGAGAGCGAGTCTAGGAAATTGTCGAGCGTAGGTAATAACTCCGAGGTAAGTCGAAAAGGGGGAAAGAGTCTCTTAGCATCACATACATAGGCCTCGGATCTAAATCGTCTATCATGCTAGCCAATGCCTCCCCATTAGTCATGGAGTGCATCCACCCTTTACACATTATACGAACCGCGGACGGATGCGTGACAGCGAACTCCTTAATCGTCCGACGGATGTCTTGTAGATCCTTGCACTCCTCTAAACCCGCCTTTTGTAGAGACTGCCCTAGCATTAGAAAGTGCATATGCCCGTCAATAAACCCTGGTAAGACTATACGACCGTTAACATTGTGTTTGGCTATATCAGTAGCCTTGGCCTCCGAAATTTTCTCATCGTTTATGCTGCCGACGTGAATGATTTTGCCGGACTCATCAACTAACATAGCATCTACGAAGGAATAACCGCCACTCTTGGGCCCGGACTGAAAAAAACGGCCGTTATGAAATAAAGTAGCCATATTATCAAATATCTATAACCAAAGAATATATGGCTGCCCACAAATGCTAAAATACCTAGGTATTTGATTATTCGTGTAATTATCAACGTAATTAAAGTTGTATGTGTATGTTGTGAGAATCCCCCACTCTAGTTCGAGGCCGCGATCGGCCATCCATGAGATTTCTCTATTCGCTCTAGTTAGTATAAAATAATACTATGATTTAAATACACTTATTTTATCTAAGGTTCGAATCTACCGTGTACGTCTTTACGAAAACATATACCTTTAGATTGATATCTCGGAAGCCTACCCTACTATCACTTTTCAAAATAAAATGCTTCACATATTCGTTATGGGAATGGTAGCAGCATTAAAATGGATATGAATATATTGTCCCCCCTTTATACAAATGCTCTATCATTTTGGGTTTTAATTCTCAAAGCCACTAGTAGCTAATCCTTTACTGTTGTTATCATTTAGAGCATTGTCTCCTATTCTCCCAAGTTGCTGTTTAGCCTAATTTTCAAGCAATCCGAACAATCCTTCCTTCATACAAAGTACCCGATGATTTTTATTTCTCATAATATTGTTATCACAAGACGAAATATCCTGCAGATATAATTCGTAGGTCCCTATTCACTGGCATTCTCCGTATGCTGATTGACAACCCTCCGCTGCGAGGCAGTGAGCAGTAGTGTTTCCGCAGTAGCCCCTGAGACGCGGATTGTTAGCAAATATATACCCTCGAAACCGGTAACTTGTAAAAAACTAAATACGACGTACGCGACAGAGCAGCAAGATCCTCCCTCAGTAGGACACCGGTAGCCGTACTGGCCGGCCCCTTCGGATCCACAAGTACCATCAGGAGAAACTGTCTTGCCATCGACAGGATCGACGCAAGCGGCTGTTACATTGGAGTACTTGCTCTGACACCCTACAGTCTTCAGGCAGTATTCATCTGTTGAGCCACAGTAGCCATTGGTTGAGCAGCACTTCTTCTCCCCAGGACATGTGTAGCCTTTCTTATTGCCGGCCTTATCAACGCCACATGTCTCATCCGGTGATACATCCGACCACACAGCCGTGGCGGCTAGCAGTATGGTGAGAAGAGCTGCTTTGGTGCCGAACATGTTAACGACGGTAAATAGATTGGTTAATTGATCAAGAGTAGCTTTCCTATAACTTTCTAATGTGCCCCGGGTGATAGCTTGGTCTTATATTCAATATACGCGGATTCATTCTCTCAGTTCCTTATCCTTTCGGTAGCATCTCCGTATGCGATTGACCTGGATCGCGAACGCGCGTACATATTCCCCAAGAAAAAGACCTAAGTGGATGGAATATAGATGCTAAAATTACCTATCATCTCGGCACTCTATAATGCGTTACAGATCTTCAGGGCCAGTTCCTGTAATAGAAACCCGGCTGCGTGTTGTATGATTTAGCCGAACTCCCCTTTATTCTGGCTACGTCGGGGTGCAACCAATTGAGCGGCCTAGAGCGAACGGCAAGTATCCGCGGCCACGACCGGTGCGGCTCTCTATCTCATTAATATTCCCTTAGAGACTGTCGGAGTCTTAGGACCAATTTGAATCACGCCATCTTCCGAGGGACTGGAACCTCTACGTCGCACCCGGACGCTGGTTTCGTTCACTTAGGCAGAACGCACTTAGGTAACACAAAGACCATTATTTGACAAGTCGTATTGAAAGTATCTTAATATTTCATTCAAAATTAGTTCTCCGGTCTCCAAAGTTTTCTAAACTTAGATGTTTGGAGATCTCTCTTCTCCCTATCGTATCCGTAATTCCACCACCAAAATCACAATACAATAATCATTTATCAATACGCATTATGGCAATATATTAGGTAGTTACTAAGATAAAAGGTCGTAAATAAACAGGTAGCAATAGTCGTAATATTTTGGTCTGTATAATTTAAAATTATTAACAAGGACTATTAGTCTTGATTGTGTGATCGATGCAGCTATCACAAACGATTATTTAGCACAGGATCTTCTTCTCCCCGCCTTATGACTGATGATGTTGATGAACTATGACTATTTTATTTGTCAGCAACACCAAAGACCAATCATTAGCGAATACATGCGACTATTTAGTGTGTAGCTTCTAATAGTGTAGTAAGCATTATCTAGGTCTTAGCCACAGACAGGTGCCTTTATTTACCTAGTGAATGTCGTGATTGAAATTTGTCACATGAGGTATTTTCTGGCTAGAATTATTTCCCTAGGGGAAATATATAAGAATACCATTTCAAAGAGCACAGGATGGATGGTAAATTCGAAATAATAATATTTAAAATATTAAGAAATTATTTTTTTAACCGACAGAACAAAAGTACAATAAATATAAATCTATCAAAATAGGATATTTGATCCTCAGAAACTCATCATGACTGACTCACCCTTCCGGAGCAATATCACCGTAACTTATATCGGCACTGCAACCGCAATTATAGACATAGACGGTATTGCCTTTCTAACTGATCCGTACTTCTCGCCCGAGGGTACGATATGGGATGTCGGCATCGCCAAGTTAACTAGCCACTACGAACCAGCCATTTCTCTTTCCCAACTGCCACCCATTGATGCCGTCCTACTCAGCCACGAGGACCACCCTGATAATCTTGATGAGTTAAGCCGGCAACGTCTACTTGATGGCCGGCGTGTTTTGACCACGGTTGATGGCGCCGCGAAGCTCCACCCCAGGCCAGGAGTACAGGGTTTGAAACCCTGGGAAGCAATAAACCTGACTATAGGCGGTACTCGCTTCGAGGTGACTGCTACACCGTGTCAACACTTACCTGGTGGGGAGTGCACAGGTTTCATTCTCACAACACCCTCATTCGGAAAGACAGGGGACCTTCCGAATGCTATATTCTTTTCCGGCGACACTATCTACCTCGAAGAGCTGTTGAATATCCGGGATCGCTTTCACATCTCGCTTGCTCTGTTTAATCTTGGTGCGGCGGCCATTGTGCTGCCGGGTGCGTCCGAGCCGTTACAGATCACGATGGACGGTGCTCAGGGTGCCCGGCTATTCCGCGAGCTAGGCGCAGATGTACTGGTACCGCTACACTTCGAAGCTTGGGATCACTTTTCCCAGGCCAAGGAGTTACTAAAGGATGAGCTAGATGAAGCGGGGATTAAGGACAAGGTTGTCTGGTTAGAGCCTGGGAAGCCTAAGAAAATTTTCTAAAAAGGGATATCTGAAAGATGATGCTATTGTTAAACAACCATTGATAAAGACCATCACAACCCTTCCCATGTTTAGTCTTCATCACATTATGTACCTACACGATTATATATCTACTTCTTTCCTTATATAATAAAAGAACATTCTTTTCTTCTTCCTTTTTATTGTTAAGATAATTACAGAATATCTCATACAACCGTGGAATATCGTAACTGTGTCCCGCTCAAATCTAGGTATATATCTACATAGTCCTGTAAAATTCGCAACAACCACCAAACCAAGTGATGATCGTATCTTGTCAAAGAATGTTCGCTATAAATAAATACTATTTTAAATCGTTAACATAATTCCCGGGATCATTTGTACAATACTCTATGTACTAAGTGTAATTGACCACGATAGCGCATCTACACGAGAATCTTCGGGGTTTGTTCGCTTAGCATCGTATATTAAGTTCTCATAAACTTAATTAGGAATGCGCGTAGACGGAAATAGAGGTTCAAGTCGTAGAATCTGCTGTGGTTAACTTTTTTCGACGTTTCTCTGTGATTCCTAGACCCCATTCGTGTGCTGCCTGTGCCATTTCTAAAGCCGCCATTTCAATCTGCTTTGCTCGGGCAACGGCATCTTCTTTTCCATCCCCCTTTATCGACTTTAGCTTCTTCTCTACTAGGTCGAGTACCTCTAAATGGATTGGATTTGAATCAAAGGATCTCTTAATCTGACTAGGTGTTGGCGTTCTAGAAGGTTGATTCCGTCTAGATGACATCTGCGCGTCGCACTGTCGTCCATCGTACAGACAGTTGCTGCATATCGATCTAACCCTGCTGAAGCTCTCTGGGGCTATCTTGGCTTCTTCGTCGGGATCTATGACAATGCACCCGGGCGATATCGTCTGACATTTCCGGCAATGTGTGCATTGGAACTGTCGAGAAAGTATCATGCCCCTCTCGTATAGCATGATCGCCTCAACTATCCGCGCCGATCCTAGATCGGGATGTTCTCGGCTATTAAGACGCCTCCACGCTCTTTGAATTGGAAGCCTCCCAAGCCGGCGAATGTCGGGCGTGTTAGCAAATCCCGACGGAGGCAAGCAAACTGGATCGTAGACGTAATTCCAAACAGCGGGTGCCTTTGTTGCTTCGGTGAGGTCTTGTTCGATAATATCCATAGCTTCCCAATATCTATCTCTCATCTCGTAACCCTCTATGCTTTCCGACCGTCGTCTCTGCCGCCTTCGTAAATTTCTCGTGGGAAAGTCTCCGCGTGCGTCCCCGTCTTCAGTTTCTGGTTGTAATTTGAATTTAGACGGGGGATCGAGAACATGTCTCTCTGGGAATGTGTCGTCGGCTTCGGGATCGTTAAGCGTCATACGAGCCATATTAAACTCATAAATCATGTTGAATATCCCATTAAAGATAGAGTAAGAGGATGAAAAGTGTCGGGGCGACTGTAAGTATTAATGGTGCGGGAGGCAAAACTGGACCAGTCGAGAAGCACGCACCATGTTTTTTTCGTACCGCATAGTTAAAACGTCGTAGCTATTCGCAGCTTATCTTAGTTGATGGATCTTCAATTTTTACTATGTAAGTATTATGTAGCTACTAGACCTTCATCAACCGAACTCGGTCTGTCGGATGCCCCCCTGTAAGAATCGACGCCACTCGCCTGCGTTCCATTTGTACTTCTCGCGACCTTGGCAAATTAGCCTCGGGATATTTCTAATCGGGAATTCGTACTATTTATATTGCTTTGAAAATTGTCGGATGTGTTTTAGGCATGCCTTGGGTATGTTTATGGCTTAGAGTTTAAAGGTGAGTATGAACCTCAGTAGCAATACTACCTATGTATCCAGCTCCGCCAATGTCTCTTCAAGGTACCTAGAATATATCGACCGAAATAGGGTATGCGGCGGTCAGGGAGTCATCGCTAGTATTGGAGTAGGCGAACCCCCCACGATCAAAGCGGGAATAGCTTTATGTGGGGAGCAAAGGCTTTGAAGTTGGAGGAGTTCTTGCAAGTTAGACACTAGGAGATAAACATGGTAAATGTATGGAGGTTGGACTCTCTTGTGGAGTAAACCGGAGGCGTTCCGCTGCCACTTAGGATCTAGCCACCCTATACACCGTATAGTGTTAGTCTTGGTGTAGTTTTGTTAGCTTTGTGGAGATGAGGTGGGGAGTTGAGATTTCGGGCTTATTCATTTCCCATGACCTAACACCTGACAACTCGACTTTACAAGAGGGGAATAGCGGGCTCGGTGAGAGAAGGACACTCCGTAAGCTGTAGAGAACCCCATACATTTTTCTGTTTAAATCTACATAATTTTCATTTATAACGTGGGGGTTTATGGATTGTGCTATTACCTATGTTCCTGAGACTAAGTAGTCTTAGCCTTTATCGAAGAATCAACAATTATACGAATGAACATAATAGTTAGATACCTAACCCACCTACATATAATAGGTACCATCTTATTTGTAAGAGGTTATTATATTTATTTTAACTTTTATTACTTTATCGCTATGATAAATTGGCCATAAAGCGAGTGTCAATGTGGTAATAGATAAAATGAATACAATACATGATGTTGAATTTGAAGGGGAATGATAAGCCTTGTTTTTTATGTAAACAGGTCCACTGGAAACCAAAGGTAAGGTCTTCTCCTGGAGAGCGAACAAGGCTTATGCATCCCCGCGTCCTAAAAAGGAAGGTACAGGGGTTTAGTGACCAATTAGAGGCTCTGATTTAGAAAGCCCAACCCAGTACAGGGGAAAAAGGAATCAAAAGAATAACTATAATTACCTATTCGCAAACTCGATTCGTCTTTAATTTCTTATTATAACTATCTATATCATCCTCGTAACAAAATAGACCATAAATTATCGTCTATATACACCAGTCCGATATTTATCTCACGACATACTTCTATATAGAAAACTATTTTCGCATTGGACCCCTTCTCTCTTTCTATGGCTTATCTAGTATGTATACCTGGAGATCAAGCAGTACTGGATATACTTGAAATCGAGATACAGGAACTTGATCAAGACAGGAGGCTTGCCTAAGTACCCGACGTTGCTTCACCCCCTTACTCGGAAGCCCACCTCTATCCTGAAGCCAATCTCAACACACTAACCGATTCTAGCTCGGTCGATCGCCAATTCGACAACGCCACCGGCTGCATACCCTTTAACTCAGGAGGAATGTCGGAAACTGAGACGGAGAATTCGTCATAAAGTTGAAAGTCGATTCTTATCATTTGCCATAATCTTTTGTTAGTCTTCTCATCAATCTATTGCCATTCCGACTCTGGTCTATTGAATTTCTGCGTAAAAGATCGCTTTACGGTGCTTATGCTTATTCTATATGCTATTAGGCTTCTTAATTCAACTTGATTATTTTTTTTCTTTTCGCACATGAGCAACCACACTTCGAGCAGGTTCTTGGCTTCACCGAATCGCAATACAAGGTTAGTCATATCGACATTTTTCACGGGCATAACGTCCAACTTCCTACTCACATACAGCTAAGGCGTCTCACTTACAACAGAAATTGCTCATGTCATATGCCAAGGTAATATCGTGGATAGGCGACTAGCACCAATAAAAGATAGCTAATCTGCTCGAAGTCCCATCCAACTTATTTCTAAGTATACTACCCAGGCCTATGTACTACCTGCGTGCCGTGTTATTCACTTGGGGGTTACTTCAGTGGATTCACCATTACGCCAGTAGCGTCCTCGAAGTTCACATATTCTACCTAACACTAGGTATGCTGAAATCAGCAATACTTCCTGGCTTCCTATATCTGCTTCCATGCTAATATAAGAAAAAAGGGGTGGGCGTAAAGGTCTCCTTACTGGTTGCGATGTGGCCGCTAACCTCTTTTTTCATCGCCGTATTCGGTTTTGTACCTTAGACTGACATTACGCTAGATGGTATTCTCACGGAATACTCTATTTACTTGATAATATCGGGACTTATCGCCGTGATCACAGCATATATATGTTGCAGTATACCACCTAACCTCCCTCGATCGACCGACTAGTTCTCGGAGGTCGAATGTCTAATATTCATATCTCGCTTGGCAGAAGCTTCCGGGTGGCCTCGCTCAGTGGAATACGAAAATGAACCAAGTTTAAGATATGTTTTCTACGGTCTAAAACGAGTAGTCCGTGATATAAAATTATGGATCTTGGTAGGTCCAGCCATTTAGAACATATAGGGGTTTACTTTCCTAACCATCTCTTATCCTACAAGGCTTTCATATGCCTTTTTATCTCGGTAATAGCTTCGGGGCTTGGTAACCTACAATACTTAGCCAGCATAGACACGCTTTTACAAACAACTGGCAATACTGGTGAAATACGGAAAGGCACAATAATAGTCTTAGTCTGTGTAAGTCATAAGTAATGGATTGGTGGGTATATAAAAACTATATTTTCTGACGTAGCAGTTTATTTGGTGCATATTTCCTGATTCGGGGGTTTTTGTACTGACCTAGCCAAACGTCGAGATCGGATTATCCAACGTTCTTTATTTGTTGTCGTATTTACTAACATGTTGCCTTTCTTATTGATGATTTATCGTCCTGTCATACTTACACCTAAAACGGTAGTGAAGCTAGATCCTGCTTGGTGGAGTGTTATTATTCTGCGCTGGGGCTGCTGCAACAGCTTGGACGTTACATATTTTACTAAAGAAAGCTAATTCGTGGATGTTAAGCTATTGAAGCGGCTGGGAGCCTCCGCCTATGACTCAATGGGTTGCACAGACATTGGACGGGGAGTTTCGGGACAGAGATTATACGTTCGAGTTTCCCGAGTAAGGTGTTGTATCAACATTAGTATGACAATTCTATGTGGGGATTATGGAGTATTCGTTGCTGTTTCAACATGAGTTTAGCAGAAACGATAGGAGAGACGGGTTAGCAAAGCAATATTCCCTTCGAACTCGGACATGGCGCTGTGGTTCTAAAAGCTATTTGCTAGGTACACCCCTAAACCAACCGCAAAAGATTTTGGGCTACAGTACTTCTTTTCTATATTTCATAAAGTACCCTAGATTTTGGTCTCATTATGAAAGCATGCATCATGATCCGTGGGCCACACACCCCATAGCTTTGAGATCTGCAAAGGTGTTTCTCGGCCAAGTCTTGCTGCTTGGTTTTAATACATGACCTAGATCATGCTAACTACCAGTTAATTACAGAAAGCTCTAAAGGACTTGACCACCATAATAGATAAATGTGTCTTCTATAAAATATATACTACGATGTGATCAGATGCAAAGGGTTTTTTGATGTGAACTACATTGGTAAGAGAATAGCAAGCAAGCTATGTAGTTGTAGACGCGTCGATAGTTGAAAATAATTCTTGGAATTAGGTACGCATATTAAAATAATCTTAAGGACATTTCATGCGATTTAAGTTGTTAATCATGCATGGTGGCGATATCATAGTAGAAACATACGAAGTAGTCCCGCTATAGGAGTTTATTACATAATCCCGAGACGATATGTAGGCATTTCTAGAAATTCCCAAGAGATGATATTTTCATTTGTCGTTCTACTTAGTTTAACCACGGTTAGGTACTGGTCGGCGCATTGAGCAGCTAGGTAGGCGAGGCAAAAACTGAAACCATAGGCCTATCCTCGTACCTACAAATGCGAGAATGGCAGCTGACGAGTGGAGTTGTGGGTAAACGCAGCAAACGCAACTGTGACAGCGTGGTATCATTTCTAGCAAGGTACTAGGCAATATATACCTTAATAGGTACCTACCTACATAGGTACTCTTACCGTAGATAATCCCCAATGCGCGCCAAATACGTGGACTCCGTGTTACTAGTAATCGGAATAGCACTCTATAAGCGCATTCCTAATGTCTTTTACATCCTGCAAGTTGTTAGAACGTGGCCTCTAGTGTTATGTTGCTAGAAGCTTACCTCTGGAGAGGACTTAGTCCGAGTAATCGCATGCAGTTTGCTACTACTATCCGGGCAGCATCATACAATGCCATACGAGCCGCCTTCAGCTCGGGATCGCTACCCACTACTTGCAAGTGGTCATAGCTACTACTGATAACGTGTGTGAGCCTGAAAAGGTACGTTACTACCGTAGTCGGCTCCAAGGTCCGCAGCGTGTTCTGGGCTACGTCCGGCCATTGGGCAAGTAATCGGACCACGTTAACGGCATGAGGTTCTGTAAGGAGGGATAGATCCGCATTTGCTAACTCCTCATCCGAGACGTTTGCTCGGCGTTTGATGGACGAAAGCCGAGTATGAGCATATTGCAAGTAAGGCCCGGTATCTCCTTCGAAAGACGTCATCACTGCTAAATCGAAGGTATAATTATTACCCCTAGCCACCGATATTTGTTAGGTTCTGTTACGCTAACTGATCGACTCGATAACGTACCTCTTCCCGCTCATATCCTGCGTCATCACGCTGCTAATTCCGAGTGTATCAGCAGTGCCTTCTGGATCTTCTACTTGGGAATATTTGGCGTCGTTTTTCCGCATGACTTCGTGCATGTGATCGGCACAGTCACGCAGAATATCATCCAAGCTGCGAAAATTATTGTTAGCCAGGCGTCAAGAAGGTCAGTTGGAGACGTACAATTTTACGGTTCCTCTTCGGGTACTCATGCCCAGGACCAGTCCAAAATTTATGTGCTGGCAGCGAGCTGCAACGTCCTTGTAACCTAGAAGTTCGATAATCTTGAAGAGTTGTTGAAGATGAAGATCCTGCTGACTAGCAACGACGTAGATCATATGGTCAAATTTGTACTTCTCGTACCGACCTAGGAGCTCTGCAATATCTCGGGTGAGATATAAAGCAGTTCCATCCCTCTTCCTGATAACTGTTCGCCCGAGACGCTTACCTTCCTTACCCGGTATAAGCTCTGTAAAGTCGACGAGCACGGCGCCCTGATCTTCTCGGGTAATTCCCTTTTCGGCCATCTCCTTGGCTACTTTTTCCATCGCCTCTTCGGTAACCTGGCTCTCGCCACTATATTCGTCGAACTTGATGTTCAACCTAGCATACGTAGCTTTGTATCGGACAATGCTCAAATCTCTGAAACGTTTCCATAATGCGAGAGCTTCTTCGTCTCGGTCCGTCATCTTGCGGAAATATCCTCGAGCTTGCTCGTCTAAGCTGGTGGCTAAGAGCTCAGTAACATCCTGGCCTTCCTTCTTCTTGGCCTCGATGGTCGCCAACTCCTCTTCCTTTTCAGCATTTATACGAACGTATAGTCGAAATAGGTGATCGATAGGGTCCTTTTTTAGTGCTTCCTCGTCCCCGTACCTCTCGTAAGCCAGAGCTAAGAGGCCGTACTGTTTACCCCAATCGCCGAGATAATTGATCCTGACAACATCCCAACCAGCACCCTCGTATAAGTTTGCTAGGAAACTTCCGATGATAGTGGAACGAAGATGTCCGGCATGGAATGGTTTAGCAATGTTGGGGGAACTAAACTCGACGACGATCCGCTTCTTTCCTTTGCTCGGGTCCTTGGGGTCTTTTAGGCCGAGAAAACGATTTTGTCCGTATTCCGCACCGAGGTCGCGGATCATAGGAATAAGAGCCTTCGATAGAGGGGCGCCTTTGGCGAAGAAGGAGAGAAATGGGCCAGCAGCGACGGGTTTCTCGAAAAGAGGATCATCTTTGGGGAACTGCGGAGAGAAGTAGTTAGCAGCGTGCGCGGATATATCTCTAAGCGACTCTTACCTTGGCTGCCCACTCAGTTCCCAATGCGTCTGGCTTTGCGCCCTTTATCCGGAGGGCAGGAATAGGTAAGGTAAAGTCTCCCTTGTCGAGGGCATTTGTCCACTGGATGACGGAATGAATCTTATCGGAGGCTACGCCTGTAATGGGTGCTAGGACTTCGCTGATATGTACTCGGTAGAAATCATAAGGATTGACATTGGGATGCGTCGTGGGATATTTCTCAGCGATAGACTCGAGTGTCAGGTCATCCAGCTTTAAAAGAACGTCATTTATTTTACTGGCGAAGGCCATGGTGTTAGCGGCGCGTCTCTGGAAGTTGAGCAATCTTTGGCGACTGAATTTTGTAGAGTAGTAGTAACGAAGAGAAATAGTAGATAATTGTTGATGTCGAAATGGCCAAACTGTGCGAACAATAATAGTTCTAATGTGAGGAGAGGTCATGAAGATTCTACTTGTTAGGATTTAGAACTTCAGTTGTAACCTCAGTTAAGAATTATACTTAAGGTACCTCCTAATTCTTAAACCTTAAACCCTAAAAGTTGTCGGCGCCTTCTGACTCATTTGAGAAATAAGAAATTGTTGTTTAACCCATTGGAATTTTCCCCTCTACCCCTCCCCCACCTACGCGTCGCGCCTTTTAATTGGCTTTGCGCCGATTCAAAGCAGATGTACCTAAGTCACGTACCTAGGTATCTAAGTACATGCACCTTCAATGCTGCTTACATATACATAGGTACCTAATCTGGTGGCAGTCTTTTCCGACAAGTGCATATAGGGTGTTAACTTATATAATATCTTCCTTACATCTTTCTTTTATCTTGGTTATTTTTCATATACTTCATTCCAGTGCTACTCACTTGAAGCATCGTAGCCATAATCTCTATGCTAGCTTCTCTAATATTGAGCTCCACGTCCTTAATTGTATGAACAAACCCCAAATACTCGGCTGATGTTCGGTTTGGCAAACCTTTTAGGATATTTTCGACATGGGACGGGAGGAGACCGTTTCGACATGACGATACATGCAAATCACGGCCACCTTTAAAACTACCTAAGTTAAGTAGATATCCGCTAGCTACCTACATAAGGTCTCCCCGTCGCCGCCTAACAGTTCTAGTTTTTCGGGGCCTATATATAGCAAATATGATAGGGGGTAAACCTTGATTCATACCTTTCGTAAAACTTGCCATATACGGTATTGAATATTATAGGGTAATAGGAGTCGCATCACAATTAAAAGATAACACCAGCAAGCCTGAGCCTCCTAAAAGCTTCTATCCATGAATGAGCCGGAAACTGTTGTTCAAGGAAGCCAGCAGACCGGAGCTTATCGGCGCTAAGCTCTCTGTCGAAATCTAGCCAGTACCCGACTGTATCAAGCTGTTTGCTACCAGCACCAACTCCTGCCGTGACACCCTTTGGACGCTCATGTTCCTGGAAGAGATGCTTGTGTTCCGCGATGTATTCGCTTGGGGTAAGCGAGGATCCCTCGTTTCCAGAAGGGCCAACGCCTACCAGGCCGAACCAACCCGCAATCTCGGGCCACAGCTTGCGGAATGTTGTAGGGGTCGGGTCATCAAGCGTATTAATGATCTGTCCACCGAGCTTGTCTGGGTTGAGAGATGCAAAAATACTTATCCGTCCAAGAATGCGAGTAGATACCTGCGTAAATCGGGCGTCGAAGCCAGCCTTGGTCCCAGGAAAGGAAATCTCTACCCTTTTCTCAGTGTTTGAGCCCGAGATGCCGTGGTTGAAGGCGTATAACGAGAGATATTGCGCCCAATGGAGTGCGAGCGAGTACCCAGAGCCTATCGGGCTGAAGCCAACGACGACATCAGGGCAGACTTCCGTCCAGGCCCATCCGCGGCCTTTTGCGGCCTCGGTGAGTATCTCCCTAAACCACGGATATGCCACAATTTTAGCATAATCCTCGGGAAGCTGGTTGGTCATGTGTTCCTCGAGCGGAGTTTTGAAATTGATGCTAGGATTATAGATACCGTATCCCTTTGTCACATTAGTAACAGTTCATAAATTCGTTCAAACAAGCGTACTGACCCGAGTGCCCCCTGAGTAAACGAATGACTGAAGGCTGGGACAGAGCATATTTACGGCCGCTGCCACCTTTCGCATTATACCGCAATTCAATGCACACTCTTGTTCAAAATCATTCAAAAAAGAAGTGAAGACTGTCTTCAGTCAGCGATTAGGGTTGCGGTAGGACTGGTACGTAGGTATTACAAACTAAAGTAGAAGACATGAGTGATGCCCTGGATGTCTGGCACCCTCTTCTCTAGAGTAGCCGCGAGGTCTTCGCCAGTTCCGTTCAAGAGGTCAACTCCTGAGCATATCTGAAGTTCGGGTAAGCCTGGCAATACCTCTGGCCAGTATGTATCTTCCAATTTGAGCGAACGGTTGGTGACTGCGGTGACTCTGTTAAATACCCCCTGCTCAGGATAACCCGAGAGCAACTCGTTGACGACGCCCCAGCCAATAAGGCCAGTACCCCCGAAAACAAGGCCGTGTTTATCCGACCTTGCCATGTTTCACTTGATTCAAGTATTATCTCAAAGGGAGGTGGGGTGAATCGTGAGAGGTGAAAGTAAGAGAAATCTTGATAAGTTCATAATATCTCCTTACCCTCAATTCCCAGTATCAAAGAAAAATCTCCTGTGTTAAGCTCGACTTTATAGCGAAAAATAGTAGACGGCCAACGGTGTGACCTTCGACAAAGTTTATAAATATATGCGAATGTACATCGTTCTAAGTCATTATGAATCATAATGGATTAAATGAGAATCTAGGTAGGTATAAACTAGCACTAACCCACGCGGCCTTACCTTTTCAGGTAATTATCGCAAATATGCTATCCAGAATAAGAGCAAGTATCCATCCACGCATAGTCGAGGCGTTCTTCTAATGCGACCCGACATGTCGCCCCAGGTATGAGATAAAATCGCGTAGGTCGGAACATACCCGACAAACTCGTCGAAATCCAAGGTTTAGTAGTTAAGCAACAGCACGACTAGACGGGATTATTATAATAAGAACTATATATGCAGGGGTTAGTTAGTCGCGAGAATGTATTAAAGAAGATCTATAGAGATAACTGCCATAATTAATATACCTTTCCAGGTTAATCGCACCTTGGGCCCTAGCCATACAAGATGATAGACATCCAACTTGGTGACTAATCATTATGAATTATATTCTAGCAAAAGTCTGGCTCTTTACTAGCCAGACAGTTTTCCGTATATCATAGTAGGAAATTAGGTGTAGTCATGGTGTACGCAATAACTTACAAGTATGAGCGAAAAAGACTAAGTCACTTAATCTTTAACTATAACTACGATATGAAGACTGATTGGTTTAACCATATGGGGTTTCGTAGAGCGCGTACCAACCCTTAGCAAAATTCTCCATTAGATAAAGGATTACATTAGGAAGATGAAATCATGTAACAAAATGAAACCTTCTAACCTAGGTAATTAAAAGATAGTAGTATAAAGAGAGATATCGGGAATTCTCTTTACATGATTTTATAGCTTTTACTTTTCATTACCTAGCATAAGGTAAATTGGTAACTTACGAGCTGTCAGGATAAGACGTATACACCTACCTAAGCTACGGTATAGATCACTTAGGCTAAACCTGTCAGTACGTGCACGGTCCATTTCCTAATGAATAGCATACCTATACTTCTGGAGTATGTGTTCCAAAGTACTTATTTTATAGTCAAGATAGCCCCTTTCTTATAAGTACCTAATAACAATTAAAATCTCGGGTCCTAGGTAACGTCAGTTTCCAGGGCCAGCAACTTCTTCGTCATTCCAGCGACAAAAAAGTCGCGGTTCCACCATTCTGTTGCCGCGCCATTTCAAGTCTCTCTTGAAAGCTTTCAGAAAGCTTCTAAATACATTTACCAAGTCATCACCCACCTCCAACCTCGAACTATTCCCATCTCTAAAGCTACCGCGTCATCAACTTTCTATTCTCTTCGCATCTTCGCATCTTCGCGTCTACTCCATCCCCATGATGTCGAGCATCCTTAACAATATATTTGCCAAGTCGTCACCCGCGCCCAGATCGGTAAACGGGGACAAGGAATCGCGTGGCACCAAGCGAAAAGCTAAGAGCGACCCTTATGATGAAATAGACGATGGTAAGAGGAAGGCGATATAGTAATCGCTTATTAAGGAGCTTTACTCTTTGTCTATCATAGTGTTAATCAAAGCAAACAGACGACCCAGTCCAAAAGACGCCTTCGACTCAGCGCACTCGATCGCGCATTTCTTCGGAAGCACCAAACTCTAGCACAAAGGGACGGCCTCCGTCGGCGGGCAAGACCAATAGTACGTCTAGAGGGTCAGCTTTAATCTATTAGATCGTAGCTAATATACGTTATAGAGCGCCTAAGCCGTTCGTCGGGTGTTCGAAGAAGCGAGGTAACAGATAGTCCACGTGTCGACGCTGCAGCAAATTTAGCCCGCGCACAAGAGCCCGAAGCGGCACGATTACATCCTCAACCTGAAGAAGAGTCCAGTAAAAACTTGGTAGTCCCGGTAGCTGATATGGGCATCCCTGGTATGCATATATTCTTTTACATCTTCGCCATTTCACACGTCCGAGTTCCAAGCTAATAATATTTACGTCTCATAGGGCCTTCTAATGATAAGCCTGAGCCTGCCAATAACATCCACGACGGAAATAATACAAAGGGTAAAGAGAAGGCGACGGCAGTGAACCGGACGGAGCAGACGCTAACCGAAGCGGACGAACGCGAAGAGAAGGAAGTTCAAGCCCTTCTTCGGCACAGAATGGCTCAGGGCGGCATTGTCGAGTTCCTTGTCCATTGGGTTGGAGAGAGCGAGGATGATGCTACTTGGGAGGTCGAAGAAGAAATTCAACAAGGCGCAGAAGAGACGTTATATGCATACTGGAAAGCCCAAGGCGGCCGTATCAATGCCCTCTTCATTAAACCTAAAAACGCTCCTCTCGAGACCTACCGCGTCTTTAAACTGCTCGGTCACGAAAAGAAGGTTAGAGGCGGGTTCGAATTCGAAGTTCAATGGGTCGGCCATCCGCCCACGCGGGGCGAGACATCATTCGAAGCCGAAGCCAAGCTAAAAAAGATTGCCCCAGAGGCTTTGGACCAATACTGGAAGGATCTCGGCGGTCGCGAGAAATTTCTTGCTAGACGAGGCCGGGGTAAGAAGCAGCGCACCGAGTAGACGCATTACCCTAGACGAAGTTGACCTATCTACTATTTACTATCTGTACATACGTACTTTTTCCTTTATTGCGTCTCGCGAGCATTCACGATGCCCGGCATTGCATCACATACGGCGTTAAGGATGGATCGCGATGTGGTATGTTATCAATTTTTGGGATAGGGACAAACATTTGAGGTGCTTGGAAGATACTAGGATTTTCTCCGCATCGAGCTCAGCCATCGCGTTCTTCTAGCTTAGATGATGCGAATAGACACACACTTACCTTTTATCATATAGGTATTTTGATAATACGATGAATTGGGCTATCTACTTCGTTGATTTAACCCTTTTCATTACTCATTAATTATAATTAACGGGTAGTTGTACATAGATATTAGCACTGGGCTACTACTATTCTGCCATTGAAGCAGCTGGTATAAGACCACCGGTTTGCCAGCATCACTTCACAAGCAATAAGTTTGCCAGTTAGTAATTAGGTACCTTTCTTTAGCAAGAATATAGCACCTAGATCATATTACCATATCGTATAAGAACTTCAATCGCTCAGTTTGAATATCAGGACGCGTTAATTGCCTGCTGCGCCACATAGCACTGGGTCGTATATTCTACCCCTTAATATTGCTTCGCCGTGGTAGTCGGTTGCCCGAGGAGGCCGAGCAGGCCGAACCCGCTATGAATAGCAATATAGATAGGTGCTCGGTCAGTGTCTAAACTGAAGCTTTCATACGTGTTTTTAAATATCTCGTCATTAACATTTACACTGTTTCAGTTTCATAGTAGATATTTCGACTCATCCTTCAAATATACATATCTCCCGCCGCACCTGTCACGATATTCTGCTTCCGAAGTACAGTACCGAATGTTGGCCTTTGTTATTAGGATAACCTGGTACTAAATCTTATAAATCACGATGAGCGATATAAAGGAAAATGATCAGCTGCCGAGGATAAAACACGAGGCAAAGGTCATCAGACCCCTTGGATACCTGTAGGCACAACTACTACCATATCATTCAGTCTCGGAACTAATTCTGATGGGAATATCAATGCAGGGAACTATTCGAGGCAGCCATGCTCTCACTAGACCTTTACAGGAGCTCTATGCTCACATGCAGGTTTACGGTGCCTGCAACCCTCCTCCTAGCAGAGTCGCAGGTGAAATTACAGCAAACGGTTGAATCGGCTATCTCCCAGATCTTGCTAAAACACCCTCTTCTACGCGTTGGTCTGCGTGGTGAACACAGTCGCAAGCCCGTTTTCGTCGAGCTAGATGAGGTCGACTTTTCCCGTCACATCGAATGGCGCCACCTCGACGGCAGCAAGGATTATGACACCGAACTCGAAGCCATTATCAAGAGCCGTCTCAATATCAAGGTGGAACAGCCCGAGACAGCACCAGCATGGCGTATTCTTATGTTAAGCATCGAGGGCAGGGAATTCATCGATATCATGTGGGAATGGGGTCATTCTCACACCGACGGTATTAGCGCAAAGATATTTCATGAAGATATGCTGCGGCATCTAAATGACCTTAATAACAATTCAGCTCCCGAGGGATTTAACCCGGAAACTCGTATTCTCACGATACCCCTTGCCCGGAGGAGAGATCTGCTGCCACCACTTCACTCATTATGCGACTTCCCCGTCGGGATAAGCTTCACGCTGGCTACGTTGTGGAATGAATTCAAGCCGTCAGTCCTGCAAGCCAAATCCGAAGCGAACTTGTGCGCAACTTGGGCGCCCATCCGTCCTGGGCATTACGCGTCGGAGTACCGACACTTTAGCATATCTTCCATCGCTCTCCAAAATATCATAGCAGCATGTCGGGTTCATGGTACTACTCTGACGGGCCTACTACAGGCGCTCGCGCATGCCAGTCTCGCATGCAGATTATCGGACGAGCAAGCGCGCGCATTCCGAGGGTCTACAATCGTAAATTGGCGCCCGCTAATGAAGCGAGCATTGAATAAGAAGGCAAAGGCTAATGTAAGAGATGCAGATCTCGTGCGAACTATGGGGAATTTCATGACGACGGTAGATCATGTGTTTGATGAAGAATGGGTTATAAAGATCAGGGCGGCAAGTGTTATTACTGATTCTTCTCAACGAGGGCTTAAACATTTGGATGGTAAGAGAGGCGAGACTGAAGAAAATTTCAAGGATCAAGAAGTGGTCGAGCGGCGTATGCTCGCCCTCCAATCCTTAATATGGCCCGTCGCGAAAACGGTGCGTGTCGACTTAGTAAAGAGACTGGACGAGGGAACCAAGAACGACCAGATGGGTCTAATGAAGTTCATCCCTGACTTTCGCGCGTTGCTGAAGGAACGGTTAGAAAAGCCCAGATCCCACTCAGTTGCCGTATCTAATATAGGAGTTATCGATGGTAAAACCCCTTCGTCGTTAAGCAACGTCGAAAATCCTGTAGAAGGAGCCTCAGATGCTTTTACCGGGGCAAGTACCAAATGGTCCATCGATCGGTCGATATTCTCCATCGGCTCCGAAGTTCATGGCGCAGCGTTCGGGGTTTGCCTTGTCGCAGCGAAAGATGGAGAGCTATATGTGTCTTGCGACTGGCAGGAGAGTGTCGTATCCACGGAGTTGGGTGAAGGGCTAACGGTGGATTTGAAGTCGTGGCTAAAGTTCTTCGGGCGGGATCAGGCGCAATGAGCATTGCTCTTTCTGCGGTCTTCATGTTGCAACAATTGACGTGAAGTATATGCTCTGCTCTAATAGAGTGAAACAAGATCTTAGAATTCGAAGCGACTAGACTTCAGAAGACCACGAAGATTTATGGAAAGGAGTTGGAGAAGCCATGAGCCTTGCTTCCATGAGCTATAATATATACATTATATGAGTCGACGGGTCAGAAACTATACACTAGAAGATATAAATAACGTGTTGTACTTAGCTACGAAACTCTTCAACACAGCGAGTAATAATAATTGAGAAACTTTACTCGCGAAACTCCCTAATTAAATGCGTTGAAAATTCAAGTCGATAGCTTAGGTTTTAGACGCCTCTGGCGGCCGCCGTTTGCTATCTAAAGGGGAGCAAAAGGAGACTACCTTGTATTGCATGTGATACATTTTAGATCAAACATGTTCCTAGTTTTACCATTGACATCTACTTCGATAGTACCTAGTAGCTGCCTCCTTAGTAAGAGTAGGGACCTAGTTATATATTCATCCTACGTTGAAAACTTGATCAGCACCAAAAACAAGGTATACTCCCATGTAAATAACGCCTACCTTAGATCTAGGGATTCTTGTATACATCTATAAGTTAGGCCTGCTGACCAAATATCCCGGCAGATATTATTGTATGATGTAATATATAAGTACAACCTACTATATCACATATACACAGCCTGCTTAATCTGGCTTCTTACTTTGCATGCCTGCCTATGCATCATCCCACGGTACACTTCACAATCACACGTAAACGTTATCAAATATAAGGAATGTATTACGTCAAAAACCTGACTTCATTTAATACTATCAACCCTATTGTCTCGTCCATGCTTTCTCGGGTAGTACTGACGGTTCTTGTTAGGCATTCATAATATTCACCTGTCCATACAATTGAAGCACCTATATAGCTCGAACTACTAGTCAGCTAGTAAGCCATGCTAAAATTTCCTTCACTGAGTTGCGATAAGGCAGAATTACATACGCATTTACAAAATACGACTGATACCGACAACGTGGGAGGACTACGACACTAATCTGAGGTATCACATTGTGTCCCGACAGAATCCGCCTTACAAAAGCCACCCCAATCACACAGCCTGCGGGATAGCCTGCTTAAACCCTAGAAGATTATGTAGATTCTAGAACTCGCAGAATGGAAAACAGAGTAGTTTGTCGGTGGCAAAGAGTTTCCAAGAGTCGCGAACTGCGGACGGCGAATGATAGAAGATTAGGGGATCTGCGATGTAACTGTAACGCATTGCAGCTGTCTGTCGTGCAGCCCACCCGAACCATCACACACCCAGCTTATGTACACGCAGGGTAGCAAGCTCACGTCCTAGACTGGGTCCCGGGTGTGGGAGCTCGAATGAAAATTAGCTCAGACCGCGGGAGGCACACTCTAACTGCCATGGGAACCGTGCGATTAGCTCGTCGGCATCGCAAAGCCGTTGCGAATCAAGTCACTATGCACGCAGAGAGGATATGCGATATCAAGGGTAAATTAGGATAAAACCCTTCGCCATGGAATTCGTATCATATAGAAATAGAGAGCCACTTTAAAAGTCTTTGGTTTCTAAAAGAGCAAAGAGTAATGTCGTGTAATACCAAAAGGAAAGATGTGGAGAGGTTGGATACAAAGAGATCCCTGATCCATAAGCTAACAATAACGCATAAACCTCGCAAACTATCTCGGTATTAAGTAAAGAAACGACTAACAAATTCTTTGAAGCTTATCACATAAACGTCCCGTTTATATCCAGACATGTAACTTCTTTTGCGCGACTTGTGCGTGGTATATCATACACATGCATCATCTGATTGGAAACTACCTAAGATGATTGGAAACTCGGGGTCCATGTGTGTCTTTAGGGGATAAATCAAACCAGCTAAAAGTTAGCTTCCGTATTAGTATTGTTGGAAGATTGGGTTGGGGGTTTGTGGTGGTGTGGTGAGACAGGGCGACATCGCGCTGAAAAAGCGCAAACCCCGCACAAACGACGCATCGTCAGTTTGTATTATTGATTGGCCACCTATCTCTATGCTTGCCTTGATTCGGAATATCCATAGACCCACATCCCGAGCACTTATCTACAATATAAAAGGTTGCTACATGTCCCTCTTCTCTATCAACTTTCCAACTACACGCACGCATATATTTACAATCAGATCAAGATCAAACTTGACCAATAATATCAACCAAGCTATTTCACCTTACAAACCAACTACCATTCAAAATGAAGGGCGACTGCGGCTGTGCTGACAACTGTAAGTCATCTATATGATCTTTTCTAACCCCGCTATCCCCAACTACCTTCATTTCTAAAAAGGTTGCAATGCTGACTCCATTCTCTAACAGGCGAATGCGGCTCCAGCTGCTCTTGCGGCAAATAGGCGACCATCCATCATCCACAGATGAGTTGAGTTTGCTACTTCGCCCGTTTCCACTTCACTCTTCAACAGCGCCGAGCCACTAGGCGTTTTCGATACTACCTTTAATCTCTCGATGGATTATAACTTTGAGAGGATTATTGGATGATTTGAGGAGTTGGTTTATCGATGAACGATAGGAGAAGGTGTTTTGTAGCTACCAGCTAGCCAATCCTTTATTCGGAATACTACCTTTTCTGTGGCATGATTTATTTATATCATATGTAAAAGCAAACATGGTGATTGACTAACTATCTATGATGACTTCTACTCTTTCAAGTATACCAAAACATGTCTTCCATCCTTTCAAAGTGAAGGTCTGTCTTAGTACATCCATTGAGTACTTAAATCTTCTAGACTATCTTCGATGACATACGTATCCGTCTCTACGCGCTCGTAGTTGGAACCTAGAGAATGATTCTTGTAGTTTCGAATGAACCCTAGTCCGATTCTATCCCAAGCTTGTTTCTTTAACATAGACCTACTATGGATTCATATCGTAGTATCTTAGGTCCAATGTCGATAATTCCCTCGGAATAATAATTTGCCGCAAGTTAATATTCAACAACGAAACTTCTCAAACACTAAAAGAGGTAAGAAGATAAGATGAGAAGTATTTGAGAGTAGCTAAAGCATTGATCGACCAGGAAAGACCTTAAATATCAAGGAAGACAACAGATTATCGAGAAGGTAGCGGTTGAACTCGGCCATTCAGCAACATGATAAACATAAGGTGGATAATATTTGCATACAACTAAGAACTGAGGAGTACTAATAAATACAAATATCAACACACATCAGGCCTTACTTAAAAAGCAATTAATCAGTGGTCCTAGGGAGTTAAGTCTTCAGACGATACCTGGAATATATTCCACTTAAATTATGATATATGACAATTTCCGAATAAATATGCAGCAACAACCAGGTCAATAATCTTAGAACTTGCAGCATTCTATGAATCTGCTAATATCCCGCGCATACTGCTTATGACACATGATGCCTTCGGTATGTATAACTAGAGCTTCTATAGTTTATATAAGGATACTGTATCCTGACAGGCTGAGCTTAGATATTACTTCCTGGATATCATATAACTATTGCCTGTTTATACATTGATTAGGGTATTAGACAAATTACCATAGGTAAACACGAGGGAAACAACGGCGACATTAGCTTGCAACATATTTCCAATTATAAAACAATTAGGCAAAATATTGAAATCCAGGGATAACCAATGGCCATTGAAAAAAACAAATAATAGATTCTGGTAGTTAATACATCATGGCCGCTATTATATTTATTTTCTATTGTTACCTATATTGAAAGGGTTATTTGCACAAGATGAAGATTGCAAGTTTTCTAGTATTATTTATGAAAAGATGAAACTCCAGCTCCTTTCTTATTTATACTAAACCATGTTTATATTACAAGCTATTTGTGGTAGTTATTCTAACTTATTCCTGTTAGACATGAATCATCATTTTCATATATTTACTGTGCCTTGATATCGTTCCACTGTAAGAAATTCTTAAATTTAATGTTTCTTTGCATATCAAGTTTCCCTCTTTATTGGCAGGTGCATTTTATTTCTATGTGACCACCTCCTAGACGCGTCGCGACCATACAGAGTCGCGACCATACACACGCGAAAGCAGATCGCGTTCCTACCTTGCCCTAACACTCAAGCAGCTGATCAGAACTCTTCTCTTTTGTATGTCTTCTTCCGCAACAAATTTCTCATTCATTTTTTCTTTCCTTCCCTCCCAAAAACCACATTGCATTTAAGCAACCCCCCTTTCTATTAAAGGTAAGTCAAATCAATTTCAGTGTTCAACCCATCTTTAACTTCCAGCTTCTATTTTCCTCATTCCTACATGCCTTTTTGCAATATCCATTTGGTTTCCCTCTGCACAATTTTGTGCGGGAATGCAACAGCTGAAGAGAATGCCTGCTCTTTCTGTTCTCTTAACAGCAGCATCTCCATCCATGTAATCAACTATTTCACTTTACAACGTGGTCGCCTACCTGCCGCAATGAACAACAAGCTGTCGCAGCTACCCACGTTGAATCCATTTGACTCTTCTTTATTGACATCCCAGTGTTATTCTCCCACAGGAATACAAACCGGGTCTTGGCTAACCATTACTACTTTAGGAGGTTTGACTAAGTTGTCCGGTCGCTACCTACGCATTCAAGTCGGCATTTACTACTTAGACCTACTGGCGTTTTCTCCCTAAAACTGCTCGAGTTTTAGTTTATTTACACAAGGTATGCTACCTATTCTCTCCATCCATTTTCTATAGATCCCAGTCGGTGCATACCCTTAGCTATCCTAGGCTTCGGCTGGTTATCATGCTGTACATCTCGTCTTTATATACTATTTAGTTAACACCTTTGAGCCTCTACCTTTTCTTGCAGGGAACAGTTTCTATCGCTTGAAACTTGAAATTTAAAGGTCTAGAAACCTAAGATCTGTGCCAGGCCTTTGGTTTCTTTCCAATACCTTCAACAACTGCACCTTTTTCAGCATAGTCAATCTCTCTTGATATCAGTCAACCATCTGTCATAGGCACCATGTTTCAAACTGCAGAGGACCTTGGGGATCCCGGAAGAGGTAATTTCCCTCCACTTTCTTGCTTCTGTGTTGTATCTCTAGTCTTGTTTGGACAGCCGTATTTGCTTGATTTACCAACTGGTGAGCTTGGTTATGGTATATCAGATCTGTGTGGAATTGGAAATTCGAGACTGAACACATTGTGAACCTGGCTAACAACTATACTAATACTATAGGCCACGGGAAAATCCCTTTTATACAATTGGATTTGCCCAGGACCTCCAATACGCGCCAGGCTCGCGTCCTAAATCAAACCCGGGAGATTACCAAAGCTACCACCGGCCGTGTCATTGGCAATCAAGACCATAACGACAAAGTCCTGCCCCAGGACTCACAGCCCTCAGGCCATCACCCTGTTAATCATACAAAGCCTAAAAACAAAGGGACTTTTGTAGATTCGAACGAAGAAGTCGCAGCTCACAACTATTCAAAAGGCCAAAAGACCAAAGGCAGAATTGACAGCAAGACCAATTTACTAATTCCCAGCTCAGACTCAGACAAGATGTCTTCAGACAGCCATGATCTCTATGACAGTCAGGCCGCGTCTTAGGGACCTCGCGGCACTACTGGTCAAGGACTCAGCCTACAGCACTCTCCGCGCTCCTCCATCATTTCTGGCGATCAGCATCGTCGCCCCTTCGTCAAGGCTCGCATTTGCGTCTTCTTTCGAAATGGTTATAACTGGGTGGTAGGCATCTTCACCTTCTTCCGACCTGGTAATAATACAGACGCTGTCCAAATTGTGCTCTACTGCCTGATAGCCGCGGCCACGGTCAGCATCATCGCCAGCGCTAACATGCTGAAGTCCTTTTCGGATAAGCAGACTGAGGACGTGAAGAACGCTGTTCTTCTATGGCTGTTTGGCAGCATTGTCATTCTAGTTCTGATTCTCATCTTTAGTCAGCACCGCGCCTCTGGTATCGAGGAATGGGGATCTAGCCGTGGCTTGTATACAGAAGCACCGTGGATCGAAATGGGTAGCCGCAACTACCACCCTCGAGGTCGCCCTCAGCAACTGCAAAACCTTACCCACCCGCAGCCTGCCCGCACTGCTGTTCACCGAATCGAAGGCAGCGTCTACCGCCAGTCAGGCACTTCCATCGAGCAGGATATGGGTCGACATCGCCGAAGCGCAAATCCCCGAGACAATCATATCGACCAGCTTCCAGCCCAATATCTGCTTTTGCAGAAATACGGCAAGGCAGCTGGTAGTTCGGGAGCACATGATATTATTGCTCGAGCACAAATTCGTGACCAGAGCATCTCGTCTTCTGTGAACAGCGACAGCGATATTGGTATTGCTCGCAGCAGCTCTTTGCATAAGAAGGAGACCGGTAAGCTAGGATCACCCATAAAGTTCAGCACCTGTTCTGCGCAGGAGGATTCCGTAGTCACCAACGAGCAACTATCAACTATCACCTCAGCTTCGACTGGGTCTGGCCTTAGCGACATCGGCTACTTCGGCTCTTCCGAATCCAGCTCGCCTCGCCGTACCGGGCTCCCTCCCCGCGACAGCTGGTGTCTCGAACCTTCTTTCAGCTCTAGCACTCTTCCCACATATGGCAGCACCAAGCGCGATTTCACCAAAGCTAGCGTCTTTCCTCCTCGCAGTAGCTCGCTTACCGAATTTTCGTCGAAGGGCACATTCTCCAGCGCTGATCGCAAGTACGAAGTCGATACCAACTTTTCGTATCCGTATAGAACTGCCTACAAGGAACTCAGCCCTATTATCGAGCGTGCTAGCGAGGCTCACTCTTCACCTTAGGAGATAGCTTTGAGCAACTACTCCCCGCTTGCATCCTTGATCGTATTTGATGATTTGAATCATTAGTTTGGCACTGATACGACACGAATGTGGAAATCGGAGGTTCTTGGCCGTATCATAGTTTCTGGTTTTGTTTTTTTCCGCGATCAACTTTGAAGTACCAGCTCAGCTTTGATGGAACCTCCTCTAGACTGTTAAGTCTGGTTCCAATAATAATGTACTGGAACTACGCCTACAAGGTCAGTATTTCCTCATTATTCATATCATTATGCATGCTGACCGTTTCGCTTAGAATTGAGTTTTAATCACGAGGGGGTATATACCATATCCTTTCGCAAACCATTCTTTGACGAGAGACAAACACACACTTAGCTTTTATTTAGCCTCATTGCAAGTTGAGAGAGGAAGTCATTTTGCAGATAGTGGACGCGGGATAATCCGAGCTATTAGTGTAAGGAAGGTTACAGTTTTGATTTTGGCAGTTGAGATACTTGTGTAATATCGTGGCCACACGAACCATAGCACCTGGTTGATAATAAAGAGCTTGTAATGCGAATATCTCATTCTGATGTCGCGACCGGGTAACTAATAAGTTTAAAGTGTCTCTTATAACCATGGAGATTCTGTCTAAGTTCCTACGTGAGGGACCTAGGTTCTGGTTCGCTAACAAGGTCCGAGTATATGAACATAATACATGCATAAGAGCAAGATCCAAGATAAAACTACCAGAATTCGCGTATAGTACACACCCTAAATTGCTCGGTCCGCACGGGCACGGTTGTCCCTATATCGCTTCTCTTTCGAAACAGCCTTCCGCCGCCTCCTCCAAGAGCGGTTCAGATCACCCCGACTCTCCCAGAACTGCCTTTGAAAATCACTAGTAGGAGTTTGACCGTCACTACCAGTATGAGTGGCATTGGTACTGGTTCCCGCGTGCTGACCGCTGTCTTCTAGTTCTTCCTCATCATCCTCGGCTATATCATCCGCAGAGCCCTGTCTCGGCCATAGATTGAACGTTCGACTAGGATGCGCCGTATCCGGAGTCGGCGCGGCGCTCCTTAGGTTTCTATATTCAAAGTCTTGCTTTGTGAATGGAGTCATGGGAGGTTGGCTCGGGGGACCCATGGCGCTTTCATCTTCTTCGATGTCATCGTCGTCCCCGTCAAAGAAACTAAAAGGTTGAGCCTCGTTGGGTATTTCAGAGCCTCCTTTAGGTCGCTTATATAACGCTTCGAGGGGGTGCACTTTCGTAGCAGCCGGCGTAACAGGGGGTATCTTAATGGTGAGGCTGGTGGTTGAACCAGAAGATTTCGGCCTTGCAGACCCCGTCTTCAGGATTGATACGGGGCTGGTTAAAATTTGCGTGTCTAACTTGAGCTTCGCAGGCTGCTCGTCGCCTTCATCATCGTCTGAGCTATCTACAGCCTGGCTGAGCATCTCGGCAACGTCGGAATCATCAGAAGAACCACTACTACTTGACGTATCATCGTCCTCTGCAGAAGTTGCCAATTCGGGGGGCTTGGATCCTGCCGCTGGTTTTGAAGAATTAACGCTTGGTCTCTTATTCACGACGGGTTCGACAACAGCTCCGTGCTCGTCCACCCAGCCAACGCCATCTTCAAAAGACATAGCCCCTAAGCTTGACTTCTCAGTGCTACTCTTGAGAAATGAAGGATGCTTCGTCGTGTTCTCGAACTCGTGCATGACCACCTCGCGACCGTTTTTGTGCTTCTTCTTTTTGGACCCGTCGGGATCTTGATTATCCTTCGACGATATTCTAGTATCTGGAAGTTTCGTCTTGAACAAACATTCCGGCTCGTCTGTATATTTTGACTTGGTCTCCCTCTTCTTTTTCTTCCCTTCCTTAGATTTCTTTTCCTTCTTCGTCTTCCGCTTCTTCTCGATCATCTCGCGATCCGAGGTAGTCCATCCGCGCTTAACTTTTCGACCTTCCAGTTCGACTCCGGGTATCACGTCAACCTCGCGCTTCCTCTTTTTCTTTCTGTCCTTCTTGACTTCGCTTTCGGTAGCCGCGCCTGTGGGCTCGGGGATAGATTCGGGTTTGGCCTTCTCAATACGCATTTTGATTCCTCTTAGGACGGCTCCGTTTAATTTTCTTTTAATCTTGTCCGCGTCAGCCGCAGGTAGATCGACGAAACCGTATTGCTTGTCAGGAAAGGTTTCTATAGTGTGATACGAGATGTTACGCGCTCGAGGTAGGACAGAAGAGGGGACAACAACGTTAAGCAGCGATTCGTCTAACGGCGTAATATGCAATCGAATATACGGAACAGGGTTGGGTGTAGATATTGTCGTAGATTCGGAAGGTTTACGAATTGTAGCCATAGCTGCGCTACCGCGATGCCATGAAAAAAAGGCCTTTGTTTGATCAAATCGGGCGGCTAAAAATGCGACTACGAAGTACAAAAGGTGAAGAATCCAATACTATCTTATCAGCGTATCGGTGTACCGGTAGCTCCATCTAGACCCACTTTATTCACCTATGTGGATCCCGTATTAGCCTCGGCGTGTATCGGTGAGCAACGGTGCGGTTGTTAAAGTTCGGCTCGCGGACTCCGGAGCTTAACTTTCATCTCCCGAACAATTCATACCCTAAATCTCACGATGGCGCAAAAGTTACCCCCGCTGAGATTTGTGAGATCGGTTAGCATCCGGAATCTAATATAAGAATTACTACTAATTGCGATTGTTTAGGTATTAAAATCCTTCATGGCCGAGTCCGGCTTGGAGCCGAGGTAAATCTATTCCATACCCACGATATTTCACGTAGCGATACTGATTCTCTTCTATTAGGCTACTGGGACCACACGTAAGTTTGATTTAATATATTATAACTGGTACTCGTCTAAGCCTGTTGATAATCATAGTTCAGAGTTACGAACGCCGCTGCAGGGAAGGTCGATTTCGAATTGGATATCACTAAAGACCACACAGTAGGATACGCCATCCAGACACACATTTGTTAAACACCTACTCATAATCTACTTCTAGAACCGTCTAAAAATCATACACGGGGGCACAATTGCTAGTATGGTAGACCTAGGGGGTTCCCTAGCCGTCGCATCGATGGGGCTTTACGCTACAGGCGTGTCAACAGATCTAAACGGTGAGCTCACAACACATCTATAAGTTGAAGTAACGCTAACTGGACAAGTCACTTACCTAAGCAGCGGTGGTAAAGTTGGCGACAAGATCACCGCTACCGCCGTTTGCGATAAGAGTGAGAAACGTTCTATGTAAGCAGGAGAACTAGAACTAATTACCATTCGCAGTGGGCAAGACACTAGCTTATACGTCTGTAACTTTTCGGAACGCCAAAGGCGAACTCGCTGCAAGGGGAAGTCATACTAAGTAAGTTGCCATTTCTTTGATATGCCTTATTCATAATCTACTAGAGCGAGAAGTTTCTAACTTATTCAGATATGTAACGCAAGCTTGGAAGGCGCAAGAAACACCATTCACACCCCCTGATAATGCAGAGATCGAAGAGGCGTAGATTTGACACTTTTTCAAAGCAGGAAACTTGTTCGATATACTATTACGTCTTGATGGATTCGAGTAGCTAAGCATATAAATTAAATATAGCTACATTCAGGTGGCTGTAGAAACATATTGATTCATCTATCTGAATCATATCTCTCTACTCATCTTGTCAGACTTCAAGGAAAGAAGCTGCCTTCCTGTTTCACTTTGCCCCTTTCAACGATATATAGTGCTCTTCCTAGAAGCATGCGGGGAGGTTAGGTAGGCTGGTTGCTAGTGAGGCCTTTCTTGACAAAATCCTATATTGCGCTCTACTTGTTGTCTAAGAGACATTCAAATAAATGTCATGTTGCATTGGGGGATTAAAGATCATAACTTCCTACCCTCAAAGTTCGGTTATCAACGGAGGAAGATCCTCATGTTCCTGACTCAAAGTCCCAAGCCTAGATCTTAGTGCTGAACTCGCCAGAGTAGAAACCTCTGCGTCAACAGCCGAGCTACTCCCCGAAAGACTCTTGAAGCCAACCAGATCCACCCCACTGCTATCGTAAATATCAATATCCTTCATCTTACCAGCCTGTATCTTTCCTCGCACACGTCCAAGGAACTGCCTTGCTGCAGCCCGAACACGGGGCGAGGTTTCGCGATACTGCACCTTCACCTTCTCCAAGGCATACGTTTTAGTTATACCTACGCCGAATCCCATAAGCATGGAAGTACCGACCTTCAACGGGCTTATGGGCTCTCCTAGAAGGATTGGTCGAACGATAGACTGCGTCCCGTTGTTGACAGCTCCTGAAATTCCGTTAGCCAGAGCCTTCTGCGCCAGCGGAGTCAATGCTCTTTCGCCGTATCTAGCGCTAGCCGCAAACGCTTTAGCTGTGGGCTCAATCAACTTGCCGACTGACCCACCGGCGGCACCCGTCAGCGCGTCGACGAGGGCATCCATTCCGGTGTAAGTATTACCTTGGATGGCAGCGCTGACATAGCCGCCGGCGACATTGCCAACTGCTCCCCCTATTGCCGCCGAAGCGACTCCGATTACGGACGATGCTGTGGCGGCAGCTACTTCGCTAAGCCCGAACGCACCAACGGCGGCGCCGAGACTTGCTTCGAGAGCTAGGCCGACGCCGGCGGTGACGACGGCACCGATGACAGCCCCGACAACTAAGGCGGTAATTCCGAGGGCAGTTTCCCACGATTGCCCTAGGGGATCGAAATTATTGATGGGGTCACCCTCGCAATATGCGTATCGGTTCTCTTGGTGATTGCGATCCATAGAAATGAATCCCATGATTTTGGGGCTGTAGTATCTGGAGCGCAGATATACTAGCCCGCTCGTCTCATCGCAGAATTCCTGTCCGAACCCGAAGTTTGACCGCGAGTCGACGGTGGACGAGGGGCTTGCCTTCCCATAGGCATCGTACGTGATGGATGTCTCGTGATCGTCGCCTACCAGCAGCGCTGTAGAATTCACAGAGTCGAAGAAGTAGTCGGGCGTCTTCTCGTCCGTGTAGCTTGCGACGATAGCCTTGGATCCAGTGAAGAAGCTCGTTTTCTCGGTTGATTTATTCTCCTTCAAGACAGCCAGTGAGTTAACCTTGCCGCTGTTATAGTACATTTCAACCGTGTCTGAAACACCTTTACGGCGCGCGAGATAGTCATCCGCTCGATACTCAAAACCCGATGCCATGCCTCCAGTTTGGACTGATAACAAACGATCCCGATCATCAAACTGGTATTTCTGGTCCTGGTTATCGGTGGCCAACCGCCCCAGTGTATCGTATACGAATCCAGCATCTGTGCGCTGGTCGATTTCATTATATGACATTGTAGTTGTATTCCCATCAACCGTGGTGGAAAGTATGTTGGAATTGCCGTCGTACGTATACGTAGTATCACCGAGGCCTGCCGAAGGACGACTATCGAACGTGACTTGGCCGAGACCATCGTATGCGATAGTGCGATCTATGTTCAATGTTGAAGCAGTAGTTGACTTGGTTATAATATTTATGACTTTTCCCTTCCCATCGATAATGTAGGAAGAGTCAAGCAGTGTCTCGCCATTAGACTTCGTGGCAGTTGTGCCGCTTAGACGATTGAAACCATCATACCGGATCGTATTGACATAAGAATGTCCGCCGACAAGATTAAAACCAACACATTGACCGTTGCTATGGTTAACCGTGCCATAGTTGTAGGTTAATTTCTCCGTTTTGCATGACCGACTAGATACTTCCCCAAACGAACCGTACTCGGTTGTCCGAGAAACGCCAAAGACGTCTGTTTGCGTCACGAGTCGACTGTACTTGTCGAGAATATTGACTTGCGTGAGACCGTCACTGTAGGTAGTTTTATCTAGAGTACCGTCCAAGGTAATACCATACTTGATGATGTCGTCTCCGTCTTTCACCTGAGTTATATGCCCGTCAGAATCGTAATCAACCTCTATCGAGCTGGAAGGATAGGTCGTTTTGATGAACTGTCCAACATCATCGCAGATGGAATTCACTTCAGACCCGTCGTATCGCACAGTTTTGCTAAGCCAGCCATTGGCATCGTAGTAATTCAGTTCTTCCTGGCCAAGCTGGTTTTTTGTCATGGCAAGTCGATTGTTCCAATCGTATATGTTGATGGGGCCTCTGACTTGGTATTCCCTGCCATCAGCATACGTGGTATCCTTGATCCACGTATACGTGTTACCCAATAGATCGTAAGTGAACTGGCGTTTAACGATATCTGTACCCCCGACAGCCGAGCCGATGATGGTGCGTGAGAAAACGAGGGACTGAGGGCCATATTCAATATCAGCCTTTTCAAGCGTAATACTATCTCCAGATGACTTAGGTCTCTGGATTTGCGTTGTGCTAATGGGTCGTTTATTCCCATCATATACAGTATTAGTCTCGAGAATGTACGTAGCTAGCTCGTCACTAGAATCCGGGTAAGTGACGACTTTGAGCGCCTCTGTGCGTCCGTTCAGTTGAGTAACAGAACGGATGTCTCCGTTAAGATCCTGAGTAATTACAAGGTTTACGTCGTCGTATTGGTAGTTCAAGACATTTTTCTTTGGGTCGGTCACACTACGAGGACGAGATAATGCGTCGTAAACGTACTTGGTCACCAACCCTAGATTGTCCGTTGTTTCCTTTACTTGGGAAAGAAAGTCGTACGTTTGACGCCTCAGAAGCCTAGTGGCTTCGGATGAAGTTGCCTGAGTTGGATCTCCATTGTCAAGAACTTCGGATTCGCGTCCTAAGACATCGTACTTCGTAAGCTTGACGTAGCCTCCAGGTGACTTCACACTTTCCGAACCACCTTTTGGCCCAACAGTGTAAGTGTTCGTAGTGACGTAACCCAAGGCGTCAGTGTGTTTAATTAGCCTGCAGATATTGTCGTAGTCGAACTTTTCGGTCTGGCCTAAAGGCAAGGTCTTGCTTATCATCGGCCCTGCGTACTTGCGCATGTCATATTTGACGACGGTGGCGTTTTTGTCCGCGTCGTAGACCGTTTGGGTAAGCGTGCCACTGTCAAAAGAGTAAGTCATCGTATTCGTTACTGTGTCAACGCTACCATCGGGCACCGACGCGCCCGGTGCCCAGGCCAGAGTGTCTGTGATGGTTCTACCCTGGCTGTCATAACCATATGTGTGCCGAGTCCACGGCTTGAGCTGCTGACCTGCTCCGGAAAGGAAAGATGATGTAGTAGAAGCCACAGCCCTTCCATCTTCGGTTGCTGTGTTCGCCGTCTGTTCCTCGGACTGGGTGATCTCATCCCGCTGGGTAGACACGCTTACAAGCTGGATGTTACATGATGTTGTCATATATTCATTTGTTGTTGTTGTCTGCTTGACGCGACCACTACCAGAGATATTGACCTCCGAGATTCTGCTAGTCAAGTTGCCGTATTCATTGTATGCGGAGCTAGAATGTGTAAGGCACTGCCAGACCGGGTCCCCAGTAGGGTTTGTATTGTTGAATGTTGTTGTAGCAACTGGATAATTATACGCGGTAGTTCGGGCTCTTTCGTCTATCGGAATGTCATATTCGTATTCAGTCTGGTAGGCTTCTACAAAGTTGCCCTTGTTGTCAAGAGAATATTTGATTTGTCGGATAGGTAGATGGTAGTTGTTGAAATAAGTAGTTGTCCTGGCTACCCCATTTCCATCCTTATCGTTACTTGTCTTTGTTACATCGTACCTTTTTAGCATTAGTAGGTAATTCTTAGACAGCGAGCCTGGTATCCTTACGTGTAAGATAACGCCCTTCCCGCTCCATCCATCAAGGCGTCTGTAGCACCAGCCATCTTGAGACCGATGGCGGCACCGGTATAGGTACTGCCACCGGAGAACCCTCCCAGATCGTATGAGGTGTTACTATATATCGTATCATCGGTGTCCATCTGATAATGATTGTCGACCTTTGGCATATACTGTGCGGATCCATTCCCGTCTAGGTATTCAACAGTACCCCACTCATATCTTGACGATAGTCCAGTGGGATACGTAATTATAGACAGAACCTTCGACCTACTATCTCCAGGAGAAGGCTGATAGTCAAAGGACGTGATAAGTTCTGCAGGGTCCTGGATGGTAAGAATGCCATCTTCCGAGAAGTTGATTGTTGTGTATGAGCCTGTAGGAAGCGTGATTACCCACTGCTGAGACTCCTGATATTGGAAGGTAATCCGTTGTCCCCAGGAGTCTTGGACGAAATCCAGGAGCACGTTCTGCGAAGCAACACCACCATCGGAGCCCTGAAGATAGCTATAGTAAATGAAATTACCGTAGATATCTGAGTTCTGCAAGGGCTTGCCTTCAACATCAAAGTACACCTTGGACCCGTCAACCTGACTAAGCTGGTAACCGTATTGTCCAGGAAGTCCAGAAGGTAGATCTTGAGGAGGGACAATTTTCTCAAACTTGATGCCGTGGTTATTCATGTACTTCAGGCCAGAGGCATAGTCCTTGTCGTCGGACCATTCATAGTCGATGGCATAGGTATGTCCATTTGCAGTAAGACTCTTGCCATCTAGAACGTAGGGAAGATCGAGACTCCAATTATGTGGTAGACCAAAAGTGCCCACCGTGCCGTAACTATAAAACACGTTCAGACTTAAGTCAATACCGGGTCTGACGCCACGAAGTTGCAGCAGCTGTGTTGTATAGTTCAATGACCCCGTATTAGGGTTTACGGACTCATTTTTCTGGGGCACAATATGGCTGAAGGCTTGTGAGCCTTGGTACTGTCCTGCGTCACCCATATTGGTTCTATCAGAAGCAGAGGAAGGTTCAAGTAGGAGTGATTGATCTGTATTTGACATTCAACGGAGTCATTAATAATATAAGCATTGAAATCCCTAAAACCGCATTATGAACCTAGGGAAAGCATAACAGCTTTATCATCATGGAAGATGTGACATCTAGGAAATACTGGAAGTGTACTCCAAGAACGCCCGCATACACTTCAGAAGCTGAAGTGTGCCCAGAGATATCAGCAGCTAGCTTGCCTTTGGCTGAAAAGCATTCGGGGTTTGTGTATCTGTCAGACTTGTTCACGCTGAGTGCGAGTATGATTGGAAGAGCGGGGCCAATATTGAAAGCAGCTAGAGTAGGCAAGTATCATTGACGTACAAGAGAGATTCCAAGTAAGTATAGAGTCAAGGGGCAAGGCGTCTCCTGTATCTACTAGTCACAAGGGCGTACCAGATGGCAATTATTGAATCGTGCATGCAGTAAGATACTACGTTCACTCCCATGCTTGTCAGTTGAGTATCGAATATCTCGAGACATACCTAGATAGGTTAGATTAATGTATATTACTTTGCATTTTCTGCCGAACGGATTTCAGCATCGGCCACCCCTATATGAGAAATATAGGGGTTTCACCACAGTTATAGATCGGGGTATGGCAAATCACGTGGGACAGTCCTCGCAGAAAGTAATTTAAATAGTCAATCTAAGTAGCTTCGTGAGTTTCGAAATCTTTACCTTCAATACTTATCAGTTTGGATTGCCTAGACCGCAGTAATCTTCTCCTGTGGAATCTCGTAGGGCTCGTCTAATTTCTCTTCTCATAATTTGAAAATGCGTGGCAGAACGGACTGTCTTGCTCTTGCTTTTGCAGCCTTTGGGGGCTTCGTAGCCGCAGAGAAAGGCGGTTAGTTGAATACCCCCATATAAGTCGTATGGCAACATAATCACTAACGCCTCTATTTAGCTGCCCAAATTCACGGATGTGTCTGGGTAAACACAAAGCCAGTCAAACCTTACATCGTTAACTGGACTCCTGGATCTTCAAGTGACAGGTGCATGAGACTTACGGGTTCTTCTGCATCCATGACAGTCTCGGCCCAAGGACTTACTTGCCAAAACCTAGGAAAAGCTGCCGTCGACTCCAGCGGGCTTTGTTACTTCAAAGAAAGCTGGTGGGGTATTTCCTATACGGCCATTGACGCCGCCTACTCAGGCTCGACCAATAGTCAGTGGACTACAGGACCGGCCAATTCGGATATCACTCTCCACGATTATAGTGCCGGTACTAGTGTCTGCTCCAGCGAGGCACATTGTACAGGCATTTTCGTTGAATGGCCCAATGATGCCAATGCTAACCTATACGTGAGTATACCTTTCAGCTGAGCTTTTTTTCACATAACTAAGTCACATAATTGTAGTTTGTCTTCACACCCGGTGCGGTGGGTGATCCAGGGAAAAAGCCTAAGGACCCTGACAATCTTGATGAGCTTGCCGAACATGAATTTGAGTCGGGATATAGAGAAACTATGAAGTTAGTTGCTCAGGAACCGGAACCTGAGATCTAGACCAGGAGGTTATGTCTTCCGTAGAAAGGATACGTAGAGCTAAGCTTTTAAACGCAAATTATGGACATTCGCTTGGGGAAGGCCTTGAAGACTGAGAGTACATTTCGAATATTTTATCATAAATTGAAAACTTTACAGATTAAATTGTCGTCAATTAATTCATCTCTTTTCTACAAGATATCTCGTAGGCTTGATATTCTCCTGAATTTAATCAGCATTATACCTCGGCAGATTTCGACTGTTACTAATGATACCGGGGTGTGATCTTTTCATTAACTTACGTTTACTGACATACTTCCGGCACAGTGAAGAGAAGAGAGGAGAAGCCAGTGATCAAATCGTTTACGTACTTTGACTTGCAAGAAAAGCAATAGTGAGTTTTTCGAACATGGATACCGGCTTTTCCGATATTTTGTGGCTACCTGCATGGACTGTTGAAGAGATAGAATGCCACTCGCATAACAAAACGGCTTTAAAGAAGTTGATGATGTGGGTGGGACTATAAACGGGTCTTGTTAGGTTGTGTTACAGACCAGGGAAGTGATCAAAGATAAAGAATGCCGAGCAACATCTACTCGAAAATATTCCACGATAAACGCACTTCAATAGCCTAGGGCCTCTGAATAAGCGGGAATATCCAATTTCAAAATTTTATTGGCCATTACCTATTACTTTGAGTTCAGCGAGCGTTCTTGTTCTGGATCGTGGTATTATATTGTCGAGAGATGACTGTAAATACAATATACAATACATAGCAATTACTTTGTAATACCCCTTAAATGTTATCACCTAGATTATTGCTGACAGAGTTATTCCGTAAGTACGGCCTGGTGTATGTGCGAATACAGTTAGATAGAGAGTGATAAAATGTGTTATGGCTATGTTTCCCTCAAAGGGGAGTGTCTTGAGTGAGTATCAAACTGGCGTTCATTCAGCTTCGGTTTCAATCGCACGCTGCCCGAAAGGTAATAGACGCGCTCAATAAAAACCCCTCACGCATACGCATAGGTGATCTTACCTTCATACTTCTCGCAGAAGCTGGTCTGAGACAGTGTCTCTCGGGCACTCGGGCATCATAGGCGAGGCATCGGTGTATGAGCCATTCGATAGATCGATAGATGAGCCGTGTCAATCTACAAGCCGGCCGTCAGTCGGATAATACATAACTCCGATTCGCCAGATACGACCGTTAGAGAATAACGTTAAAGTGGTGGCGCAGCTTACTGGCTTGGCGGTCCATAAACTGCGCTAGTCATTGTGACGCTATTCAGCCGCTCTGGGGTCGTTGACAGTATTGCCGGGTATGTAGGCTATTCGAAATCTCGTCATGTTTCTTAGGGTCATACAGTGAGCTTATGAATTATATTAACGTTACACTCGGCGCCTTATTCAGCAAGACATCTTTTCCGTCAGTTTAAACAATGTAGTGTATGAATCAAAACCGTTAGCAAAAGCAAATCCCGGTCTAATCGTCAGCAGTCTAGAACATATGAGAAACCAAAACGCCACGGCTGCTCTCCCCTCATCTATTTCTGCATATACTACTTCCCCGATGCGATCAGCCACAGTGATAGGAGGTAGCTGAGCAGTTCTCTACATTGGACATTGTAAGTCACCCAAGCCATCACGAAGCAAGGGGCAGGCCACAGATGACAATCATGCGTCATCACGATGCATTTGAAGTACATCAATAACTAGAATTTTTGAATCACGCCTCTTCAAATAATCTCACTGCATGTCAACTAGGGGTAGGGTCAGTATAGCAACGAACTTTACTATGACCGAAACCAAACCCCGTCCAGCCAGCCTCAGAGGCATTCGAGGTGATTTGGGTCTAGTTGGAAAATCACTTGAACAAACCCCTAGCTGGGAGGTTATAGAACCGACGCTTTGCTCGAAAGAACTTTCATAATGTAGACGAGTCGCAGCACAGTTCTCATACTCTCTTATCACTTCTTTCTCATAGTTTCACCCAATATGGATTCCCACGATGTTGAAGATGCCGTTGGAGATGGAGATCTTAATGACTTCTCATGTTATATTACCATAAACAATCTTTCAGATGAAGATCTCGGCCTCAGCGATTTCGGGGTCAACGGCCGATATGGCGTATGGCCCGAGGGTATGCCTCTTAACACAATCGATGCCCACTCAAGCCCTCAGATACAGCTCAAAGACCCCAAAAGTGAGTTCAACTTAAGAAAAACATTACGAGAATTGTGTACTAATTCATTAAAGTCTATGGCGGCTCAGAAGGGTGGGTAGAGTATGAAGCTCTAACTGGAGGTTCTCCTCCAAATTTCAGGCTAGAATTTTCGTGTCCCGAAACACCTTGGTCCCCGAACTACTTGAAGGCGACAACAAGTAACCCTGACTTATACGATCTGAAAGTGCTGCCATATAAAGAATCCGGTCACCCATTCTATGGTATGAGAGTCACGCACGAACGATTTGAATAGCATACTAACGTAGGATAGGGCAAGTCGATATTCAAATTACGGGATCGAAGAGCAACGACAAGCTACCTCACAAGGCGCTTCTCAGCAGCAGTCATGAGAATATCCCCAATATTAGGTATGGAAAAAAAGGCGATTCCTTCCAGGCCAAGTACGACATCGGATTTGACGGCGCGGCACCTTTGGTTACCAAGCAGCCCGTACACGAGACAATTGGCATTGCTGCTTTCATCCTATCTAATAAGCCCCTGCCTAAAGGCACCACTTATCACAATCTAAATGATAAGCAATGGGAGTATTTCCGCGGTGTCCTGTGGAATGATGACCCATCGTGCTATCTTTTTGATGACTATACGAAAAAGAACCACGAATTCAGTACCGGTCTCGAGTGGTATGAAGACTTCGAATTTGGACCCCCATCTTGTATGATCCAACGCTCTCACTTTGGCGATCTCCAATTTCTTCACGGCATGGGCGCCACCGTCGGCGAAATGCCAAAAGAGACCCAGAGGAAGATACTCAAGTGGTTCGGAGTCATGTACAAGCTCGCCTGCGGAAACCAGGAAGTGTCCGATACGGATCAGCTTCAGCAGGCCTTGGGAGAATGGTTCGACTCCGGTACCACTCCTACGGGCCAAAGCTCACTTCGCGACCTTATTCTGGCCAGTACGCCAAACTACTTTCAGACAAATATTCAATGGCGGGCGCTCGGTATCTGCTTACACATGATTACGGACTCTTATGCAGTTGGACATACTCAGCGACGACTCAAGAACCCCGAATCTTATCTCGGCCGTGATGAGGATGAATACATGGTCTTCAAGCCCGGAACAGTAAGTGAATCTCCGAGACATCTCCTTCCTTCTCAGCGGTTTTCAAATACTAACACGGGATGTCATAGTGGGGTGACTGGGGCGCCGTCATTAACTTTCACTGCTATGCCGGGCAGGACAGCGATATACATGCTCACTACGACGGTCTCGAAGATGCCCCACTACCTGTGCCCAAGAACCTAGATTCTTTCAACTCGATCATTGGTGCACGGAATGCCATCGAAGGCTGCAAGAACTTGATTAATTTCTGGGCGGCAGGGACGAAGTGGGAAGACGGCGTAGAGACGTTCATGCAGACAGAAATATTTGCAATCGACGACGACGCGAGCCCGTCCAATAGCCAGGTTGACCAATCCGGTCCAATTTCACTGTCGTGTTGTAGGACCACCACTAGGGGAACCAATATCAAATATCGCGCAGGCCTTTGGAAGAAGCTGAACAGCTTGGATTCACGTGTCTTAACCACGGGTGATATTGCGGCCAAGATACTGCGACGTCCTGCGTGGAGGGCAATCATGCTCACGCTTTCTCTTATAGGTGTTGGTATCATTTTAACACTTTGGACATTTAAATATTCAAAGATGAGTAGATAAGTCATAAGTTAAAGCAGGAGGGACAACTTATTTTAAATGACCTAACTATTAGTTATCTTAGTGTGTTAAGACTAGAATTCGAGGAGCAAGCTTCGCCCGCATCTCCTTTCGTTAGCGCCACAGGCGCCACGAAACCCTAACTATTAGTCTTTTAGCTTTCTACGTAGAAAGCATTTAAATTTGGTGTGGCTTTTGCCCCATTTTAAAAATGCCGGGGGTAGAAAGCGTTTACGACTATTTTAAATACTTTCTACCCATATATTAGGTCTAAATTTAACCAAAATATATTAAAATAAAGCCTTTAAAAAGACGATTCTAACGGTATATCCGGATTCCTTATACGACTTAAATTGGGAGGTGCATCGATAAAAGTATACAAGAAATTTTTTGGTGGTTTTCATTTTGATAGGGTCGCACGTACCATCAACCCCTACACCACAACCGTCAAACTAGACCAAATTTGGACTAGTGCATAATTTTAGTTATTTTTTAACGAACCAAAATATAAAATTGAAAAAAATCAAAACATGTAAAAATATTAAAAAAAAAAAATAATGTTATACGTATAGGGTATATGCGCCTAATAATTCCCGGGTAACCCCTCCGAAACCGTTACCACTACTGTAACCGTTACAACTAAGGTAACCGTTATATAACCGACGTAACCGTTGTGACCGTTGTGACCGCTGTGACCGCCGTAACGGACGTAACTGCTGTGTAACCGACACGTAACCGATGCAACCGCTGACGAC